CTCACAAGGGTGGGATGGGAAGAGGAGCAGCTGAGGGGAAAAGTGAATGCTTTGGAGAGAACAGGGTGTCATGTGGGACTGGGACAGGGGTATTGGAGGATGGGTTTGTGGGAGCAGAGCTGAGAGGGAGCTGAGCAGCTGTAGGAATAGGGTGGGGGTGGGAGAGGGTCACCCCTCACAGAAGAGAATTTGAGTCTGCAGGTTTGGCGACTGTCATCAAGGGGATGTGGAAAGCAGAGACATGAGCAGGTGGGAGGAGTTACTGGTGGGTACCCCAGAGCTCGCAAGCAGAGCGAGGGAAGAGACAAAGAAATCTCCCATGGAGGATAAAAATCCAGGTGCATTTCACCCTCTCAGTGTAGGGACCTTCATAGAGAAGGAGAGTTACAAACTCTATTTGGTCCCCACCTGACACTTTTCTTAACCCAGTGAGTGCTCCTTTTCCCAAGTCTTTACAGACATTTCCTTGTCTCTCCCAAATAATACTTCTCCCAATATTAAACTCACAGACACTGAGAAGTTCATCTCTTCTGCCTCTGCCTCTTTCTTCAAAATCTAGGTGGGTCCTTCTGCACCAATTCCAGACACCATATGCATTCGATGTCAGGTTAAACTGAGCATAGATGAGTTAGAGGTAGAACCATTATATCACTTACTGTATGAAATGGGATAATTTTGAGAGTGGAAGGGGCCATTAATCAGATGGGATGCTAGGACAAGAGGTCCTAGAATCCAAGAATTGAGCATGTGGCCACTCCAGTGAAAGGACCTATGAGAAAGTTTCTGGGGCTAGAGTTATTCCTGCAATGGGAGACACTACAGAGATTCCTCATCAGCCTGGCCTGTACGCCTGTTCTAACTGCAGGGCTGATCTGAGCTTTATCCTACTAAGGGACTATGTGGGCAGAATGTAGGATAGGGACAGGATAAATTCCACAAGTGACACCCAAGGCAGGGGCAATGCCTGCTTATTGATTGAAGAGACTCACATCAAATCCTCTCTAGAAGAAAGCCTCGGGTGCCCCAAGTTCTCGCTGGCACTCACCATGGGTAGCATTGCAAGAGAGGAACTTAACTGGTGACATTTACAGATTTATTTGGCAATTAAGAGGGGGAAAGGGACATTCCACTGGCCAGGTAATAATGAGAACATCCTGGGGAGGGTAATGGAATTCTTGTAAGAAGGGGCTAC